GCATCGTTTTTCTTGCAGAGGATGAGGGGGTTCGATACCCACCCTGGCTGGGACGGTATGCGTTCATATTTCGGGTTTGGTGTTGGGACATAATCGTATGCATTTTGCAATGCAACAAGGTGGTCCGGTAACCCCAGGGGGATGTAGACCTAATGCTGTGTGATAGCGGAGAACGTATGTTGTGCGGTATACGTTGAGCAATCTACGCTGTGCCATCCATGTGATGCCACATATGTTGTGCAATCGATGCGGTGTAGGAGTGGTGCGGCGCGCGCTATTTAATTATGTGAATATCCCAACCATTCCGCCCGCCCACGCGGAATTTAGTAGTTTGCAAAACCCATGCGGCTGCGATTTCGATGACTGCTTGGTGCTGGCTGGCGCATCACTGCGGCCGCGCTGGCTCGCGCGCAAAGCGGCCAGCTAGTTTGGCGCGTCCATCGTGGCCGCGGTGGCGCTGACCGCCGGGTTTCTGTCACTGCGTCTCGTAGGCCGCGCTGATGCGCGGGCATTTCGGTGCGAGTCGGTGTTTCGGGCGGGCGCGGTATCATGGCGACGTCGGCAAATGTAGGCACGATGTAGCAATGATGACGGCAAGGCCAATCCCGGCGCCGATGCTGGTCACGCTGACGACGATGATGGCGTCCACGTGTCTGTGATGATTGATGGTTTTGGAACATTTCGGCACGCGCGCGCGGTCGAGGCGGGCGGTTGGCCTGCAATGTATTTGTTTTACAAAGATCGTTCCGCCCAAGTAGTAGTGCAGAAAACGACCGAATGATTTGGACATGCGCGCGGGAGGCCGATCGGTCGCATCTGATGTGATTGTGGAACAACCAATGATCTTCATAGCGCTTCGCGAGAACGCGCGCGCATATTGATATGAACCGTCAAAGTGCAACACCCGGGTGTTCATAGGTGTCCGGGAACCTCGGCTTTGACAGAAACTTTACGACACCGAAGGTTTTATGTTCATGTCGGCATGTGCGCGAGACGTCGCGCGCGTATGGGTCGTGCCATACGCTTTGCTAATGTATCTCGTGAAAACCATTTTTTCAAATCCAAGATAAGAAAACCGAGTGCGCGCTGGTCTAGCTGGACTCATCTTTCAACATGGTCGATGGGGCAGAATCGGATGTTGTTTTTCCTAAAAATCCCAGGGGGTACAGATGAAGGTGGGGCAGGTGGGTGGTGGAGTTTTTTGTGGGAGCGGGAAATCTGCGTGGTGCCAGGCACGTGGTACAGTTTATGTGGTACAATCCGTGTGGCGACGGGCGGCGACGGGGCGGCGACGGCGACGAGGCGACGGGGTGGCGACGGCGACCACGGCGCCGCTATAGGCCGCCAGCCAGGCCGGCATGCGCAGAACACGAGGAAATGTGGGGAGAGTCTGGGGCGAGACGGCTGCCAGACCGTCGGTCTAAGGCTCCCCGTCCCTCCCGGTCGAATTTCGTCTCTCCCCGAACATTGAACCATGTAGCGAAGCGCTGCGAGGGAGTAGTCACAGCGACAGCTTTTGAGCAGCATGTGTCATCCCGGGGCCTTCGCCAAGCCCCAAGGCCATCAAACACCGGTTCGGGATGAGAAGCGGGCCCCGGGGAAAGGGTCGGAGCTGCGGGGACCGCGTGTGACAAACAATTATCAGGACATCGCATGTTTGGGGATGTACCGATGCCGCTGTCCTTCCTTGAGATCCGGGCATTTTCGCCCGGCTGGGAGCATCACAGCGTTTTCGCCTGGCAGGGACCCTCACGGACCGAGCCGGCCCGAAGAATTGCAGAGACAAGTCGGGGTCTGGGGTTCCGGTCGCGATTAGTTGCGACTAGGGAGCCACACGCGAACCCTACCCCTACCCCCCACGATTTCTGAGGGGGAGGGTGGGGTTCACTGCGCTCGCGAGCTCCCGAACGAAGTGAACCCCACCCTCCCCCTCAGAAATCGGGGTAGGGGTAGGGTTCGCGTGTGGGCCCTTGGCGATGCTGTTTTTCTCTTCGCGACGTCGGGTTTCCGTGGCGGGAGTCTTTTTCATGACCACCGCCTGGAGGATCAGTTTTTGGGGACCTTGGCAGCCGGCGGATTATGGGTACGTTTGGGCCCCCGGGGGCCAGAACATATCCATATCCGCCGCCCGCTGGGGCACCAGGACGTCGGTTCCCAGGCGGTAGACATGGGCAGATCCCCCCTCGCAGTGTTTCAGAGGGTCAAGCAGCGGCGAAGCGTCCTGGCTCGCCTACATAGCCCCAACAAGCAATGTTCTAAGAACCTTCTGAGGTTTCCACGAAACGTTCTTAGAACATCTCTGGCGGAGTCTGTCTTGTTTTAACACATCGGGTTTATGTTCTAAGAACGTTGTTTTTGTTCTTAGAACAGTTTTGGGTTCTAAGAACGTTTCGTGGCAGGACTATAGGAATGCCGGGACGGTCGGTCCCTGGTCAAGAGAGGGAGAGCTCACCGCTGCCGCTGCTCTTGGCTCCTGCTTCGCCCTTCTGGGCCTCCTGCGTGGGTGGGTGCCCTCGTCGCCACGGCCCGGTTCGCCCCGGCGTCCTGGTCCGCGGGCGGCTCGTGTGCGGCGTGCCGTGCTGGCGTCTCCCGAGGCGTCGTCGGTCCTCGATCCGGGAAGTCACCACCCACCAGACCACCCCAGCCCAGCCCGAAGGCTCCGATTTTGCCCTCCATACCCAGTGGGGGTGGGGGGGGCGTCGGGGAACACTGGAAAAGCACAGATGGAACCCGTCCCCCCCCCCCCCAACCCGAACACCGTCGGGTCTTCGGGTTGGGTTGGGGTGGTCTGGTAGGTTGTCAGGAGCGGTACGGTGCACAGTTCTCCGACTTCAAAGCTGGAGAATTGTGCTCCGTACCGCGTGTGAGCGGGGCCTGAAGTCAGTCCACACATGGTACGGTGCATGTGCGCCGTTCTCGTAATCTTCTGAAGAGTTTCAGTGTGGGGTCCCCACAGGTGTCGACCCGCTCCTGGGGATCAGCTTCTCATCCCGAGTCGTTTTTTGACGGTCTTGCGGCCAGCGAGAGCCCCTTGGAGGCCGGCAGCGGAGAAGACTTCCGTCTAGACTTTTTCAGCAAGCTGGGTTTTTCGGGTATTTTGAGTCCCACAGGTACGACGACTCCGCGGAGGGCGAGGAGGATCGGTCTCGGTGCCACCGAGGCGGGTACCTTCGGTGGCGGGCACTTCGGCAGCGCGCAAGGAAGGGAGGCAGGGAAGCGGCAGGGATAGCCCCGCGGTCGCGCGGGGGTGCGCGCGGGAATGCGGCGGGGAGGCGCCGACTCTTTGCACCGCTCAGTGCACCCGTCTACGCAGTACCCGTTAGGGTGGCGCTGACGAAGAGAGGGGAACAGACAATGGATCGGCGGTGCACCCCTCTCCCTGTCGCGCGGAGCGCGCCAGGGGCGGCGCCAGGGGCGCCGCCGGGGGGCCCCCGGCGCCGATCCGAGAAACCCACGCGGACCTGAGAGTTTTTGTGTTTCTGTCACTGCTTGTTCCCCCAGAAGAGGACCAGAAGACTCACGCTCGGCCACGACCCCGGCCTCGCATCCCGAGAGGTCGATCCAGGGGGGAACCAGGGGGGAAGGCATCGGGGGGGGCTCGGGGGTGAGCTTTATTTCGGGTTTCGAGGATCCCGAACATCCACCCCAGACCCCGATCCCTACCACTCTCTTGGTCGCCCTGGAGTCGGGACCAGGGTCGGGGTGAGGTTCCTGGTCCTCCATCGTGAAGCACATATCGGCATGAACAACTTGGCGTCACCCCAACATACTTATACTATATGTGCGTCGCCCCCTCAGGGGCGACGCGCGCACCGAGAAATCTTACAGTATGTGTCGCGGCGGGCGCTTTCTGGCCACACCGCTCGGGAAAGCATGTACTGCAAGATGGGTACACTGTATGTTCGGGTCGGACGCGCGCCTCCAAGGAGAACCTGCAGTACTAGTCTGTCTTTGTGCGTCCCAGCAATTCAGGAGCGGAAAAAGGACGTACATGTACATGAATCCACGCTGATTTCGAGAGTTCGCATTGCGCAAATGTTCGTATAACGCGGCCGGTCTCGCGGATCGAGGGGCCGTGTTCATGTACATAGCTGGGCGCGTACGTCCTTTGTGGGCTCCCCAGCAATGGCTTTCGGAGCTCCGCGCGGGTTCCTCGGATCGGCGCTGGCCCCCCCGGGCGGCGCCTCCGGCACCGCCCCCTGGCGCGCTGCCCGCGCCGGGGAGCGGGGCCCAGCTCCGATCCGCGGCGGCTGCGCGGAGGCTGGACCACCTGCAGCCGGCGCGAGGGCCAAGGGGAGCCTCAGCTTTCGGAGGGGTACCTTCAGGTCTCGGGCCGGGCGAAAGGGGGGGATTGGGAAAGGGGGGGGTACGAAATTTGCTGCATGCAGCTGGTTTCGGCCTCACCGAGGGGCCCATTCCTCGATACATAGCCGCCTCCCGGCGCCGGGAGGCGCCGGGAAAATCGGCTACGTGAGCTGATTCTCAAACCCCCCCTTTGCTATCCCCCCCTTTCGCCCGACCCGAAGGTCCTTCGTGTTTCAGGAGGGACAAAGCACACACACAATGGGTCGTCGATTCCCAGGAAGACCTGGGAACACATGGGAAGTGGGGGGGGAGACAGGAACCCAGAAGCTATGGGAAAGGATGGGGAATCTGACAATTTTTGTGTGTATTTCTTTGTGCGTGTCCTGGGGCCCCTGCAGAGCTGAGGCCCTCCGCCCTGGAAGGCTGCTTGTTCTTTGGGGCACCTCCGTGGGGCAGCGGGCCCTCGGGGGCGGGGCCCTCGTGCTCTTAACCCCGCGCTCTTTGCCGTCGGGGCTCGGCCGACTGCTCGTGCCGAGCTCTGTCCCTAGGGGAACAAAAAGTGACATAAACATAAAAACTGGGAGGTCCGCGCGGAATTTTCGGATCGGCGCTGGACCCCCCTCCCTGGCGCGCGGAGCGCGCCAGGGGCGGCGCCGGAGGCGCCGCCGGGGGGCCCCAGCGCGGATCCAGGAAATCCGCGCGGACGTCCGAGTTTTTATGTTTATGCCATTTTTTGTTTCCCTAGTCCCTCAGGAGTCCTGGTACGACGAGTCCGGGGAGGGCGAAGAGGAGGGCGAAGAGGAGGAGCACCGGGGGCTGCCAACGGTGATCCTGGCCCCGAGGAGTCCCAGGTTGTTCGCGCCACCTCGGTCGGCGTCACCCCAGCATCCCAGTACTGTGTGTGCGTCGCCCCCCCAGGGGCGACGCGCGCGCCGAGAAATCTTATAGTCTATGCGTCGTGGCGGGCGCGCTGTGGCCGTAGCGCTCGGGAAACGATACACTGCAAGACGGTGGTATTATATGTTTGTGTCGGATGCACGCCTCCGATTAGGATGCATACGTAGTACTAGTATGTCCTTGTGCGTCCCATTCGGAGCCCCTGTGGCCCTCCTGGGCCCCGTGGGGAGCGACCTCCTCGGAAATCCCGGGGACCGCACGCGCCGGGCACATCCTGCAACGCTCCGAGAGGAGCGGGACGAGGAGGACGAGGACGAGGCCGAGGAGGTGGACGAGGACCCGGGCCGCCCAAATGGGGTCCGAGCAGATGGGATCGGAGGGTCGCGCCGCATCGCCGATGCATCGGCGATGCGGCTCGGTGCGGAGCCCCGTTTGCTCCACGCCGACGGCGCCGATGCATCACCGACACCGACGGTGCATCGCCGATGCATCGGCGACGGCGATGCATCGGCGATGCGGCGGCGATGCGGCGCGATCCTTCGAATTAGTCGGGCCTGTCCCTCTACAGGAGGAATACTCAAACATAGTCACCAACTAGTGTGGGGAGGATTTTTCGACTATTTTTTTGTTTTCTGGAGCATCGTGGGGGCATCCCTTTCTTGTCGGCCAAAATCCGCCTGTAGGGGGACACGCCCGACCTGATCCCTCGACCCCATCTGCTCGGACCGCATGTGGGAGGCCTCCGGAGGAGGAGCAGGCAGAGGAGGGCGAGGCCGCCGGAGCGGGCAACCCCTTCGACGAGGAGCGCCCCGCGCCGCACGGGCGGCCCAGGCATCCGGCGTCTCTCGAGTTCTTCGGGGCAGGGGCCCCCTCCTCGCTCCTCCCTCCTCCCTCCTCCCTCCTCCCTCCTCCTCCTCGCCCTCCTCCTTCTCCTCCTCCTTCTCCTCCTCTTCCTCCTCCTCCTCCTCCTTCTCCTCCTTCTCCTCCTCCTCCTCACCTCTTGCAATGAGATCACAAACAGGGAATCATCACAGCGTCTGTGTACGAGGGACTGCGGCGTGCAAGGTTTTCAATGCAGCATCTGAGACCGAATCCAGGGGTTCAGCGGCTCCTAGGGGCATGCCAATCGCTGCGATCGCAGAGGTGCCAGCCGGCCGCTTGCTCCCGGAGAACGGCTGCGGAGCGACCTCTCGGCCACTTCCCCGGGGCCCGCTCGCCATCCTGAGCTCTTCTGGACCGTCCCGAGGCCTCGTGAAGGGCCCCGAGGGGCCGAAGCCGAGGAGCAAGAGCCCGCCCCCCGACCTCTCCGAGACGCCGGGTGCCTGGGAGGAGCAGGCAGGGGAGGCCCCCTCCGACGAGGAGCCCGCGCCGCACGGGGATCGGAGGGCAGCAAGAACGGCACAGACACAAGGCTTATGTCTGCGCCGTTTGCTCGGAAGGTTCACTAGACTTTCGGGGCTGGGGGCAGCGATGGAGGGGGACAGGGGGACAGGCATGAACTTTTCTGGGTTTACCAAACTGTCTGAACTTTTAGGGGGCCTGCGCCGTTTGCTCAGAAAGTTTACTAAGCTTTCTGAGTTGGGGGGATGCATCGACCCCCAGTGGCCCACTGATCGCCGATATGGGCGCTCGATGGCCCCAGCCTGCACAGGCAGGTGCGGATCCACCACCAGGGGGCCCCTCGCCGATCCGTCGGCGACGTATCGCCCATTCCAGGTCGGGGCATCGCCCCCGATGTTCGGATGCAACTCCTGGGAGGTCAAATTCTGATTTTGTCCTGGTCCGAAATCCGGCTTGATCCAGCTTAATCCCGCTGAATCCTGCTTGATCCCGCTGAACCCCGCTTCATCCCGCTCAATCTGGCTCAGTCCTGCTTAGTTGGAGGCCCACTCCGGCGTGACAGCTCCCGATTGGGGCTCGATCCTCCCCTAATTTTTCCGGCGGAAACCTCCCAGAAGTTGCCTCCCAACCCAGCTCCCGAATGGGGCTCAATCCTCCCCTGATCTTTCCGGCGAACACCTCCCAGAAGTTGCCTCCCAACCCCATGCCGGTCCCCCCCCCGTCGCTGCCCCCCACCGGAGCCGCCCACGGATCTCTCGGGGTCGGCCCGCGGCCTTCCCGCGCGGCGCCTCCTGCGCCACCCCTCGGGCGCGCTCCGCGCGCCGGGGGGGAGGGGGGGGGGCGGGCCTGCGCCGATCCTCTGCACGAGCGAGATGGGCACGGAAAGACTGGGTACGATGCCCAACAGCAGTTCGTGCTCATTCTGAACAGGGCTCGCTGTCCGCGCCGCCGCGGCCTGTGCCCATCTGAGACAGGAGGCCGCCTGCCCAACAGCGGCCGCTGATGGTTCGGGACAACAATTGCTGTTGGGCATTGTGCCCACTGTTTCCGTGCCCATTTCGGGCGTCCAAAGATCCGAGAAGCCCGCGCGGACCTCCGGGAGTCTCTGGTGCTCCGGGCGGGCATGCCCCTCTGCAGGAGGAAGGCTCAAGCATGGTAAGAGCAGGTGGTGGCGATGCTCCGTGCTCTTTTGCCTGCTGTTGCTTCTTCTTGTTTTGGAGCTACTTTAGAACCTTTCTTCCGAACCCCGCCTGTAGGAGGACATGCCCGACCGAAGTTCAAGTCGGGCGTGTCCCTCTACAGGAGGGGACATCCCAAAATTGGCAACACATAATCTGGGGACGATTTTTTTTGGGGGTATTTTTGACCATCTGCGAATATGTTTTCACCACGTTTGATCTTTCCTCCCAAATCCCCCCTGTTCACCACCCACCAAACCACCCCAACCCAACCCGAAGGGTCAGCTTTACCCTCGATTTCTAGTGTGGGGGGGTCCGGGAACATTCCTATGGAGCCCATACCCCCCCCCAACCCGAAATTCGGGTCTTCGGGTTGGGTTGGGGTGGTCTGGTAGGTAGTCACCTGTAGGGGGGCGATGCCCGCCCTGGACCTAAGCCCATGCGCTGCTCCTCCAGGAGGCGCCGGGCCGCGCGGCGGGGCCTCCCCCGCAGGCGCAGGCCGCGCCTCGGCAGGCCGGAGGAGGGCCTCCGAGCCCCGCCGCCCGCTGAGGAGGCCTCCTCCTCCCTCCCGCGGCCCCCCTCGGCCTGCCCAGGGTTCCTGCCCCTCTCGGCTGCCCTCCCCCTCCTCCCCCTCCTCCTCCTCTTCCTCCTCCTCCTCCTCCTCCTCCTCCTCCTCCTCCTCCTCCTCCTCCTCCTCCTCTCTCCTCCTCCTCCTCCTCCTCCTCCTCCTCCTCCTCCTCCTTCCTCCTCCTCCGTCCTCCTCTCCTCCTCCTCCTCCTCCTCCTCCTCCCTCCCCCTCCCTCCTCCTCCCCTCCTCCTCCTCCTCCTCCTCCTCCTCCTCCTCCTCCTCCTCCTCCTCCTCCTCCTCCTCCTCTCGCTGCCCCCCCAGGCCGGAGGGCCTCCGAGGAGCCCCGTCGCCCTTTGAGGAGGCCTCCCCCCTCCCGCTGCCGCAGGCCTAGCAGTTGACAGCAACACCAACATTGGCGCTGTGCCTCCACCGACGGGCAAAGATCCCGGTCGCGGTGCTGGCGGCAAGATTCCGGTTTCCAAGGTGGCCGCACTATTGCCACCAGCACTGCGCTCGAGGATCATTTGCCCCCCTGTGGAGGCATCGTTGATTGTTCGTCGTCAGCGGCTTTGTCGCTTTCGTTCCCTAGGGGCCGTTTTTCCGGGCCCACGGGGCAGTCAAAAACGGACCACACGGGTGCAAAACTGCGTCGGATGGGCGCCGGGCGCACCTCCGAAAAATGCCAGCCAGTCCACTGCGCGTCCGAAGCGGCCAGCCCCCTGTCTTGGTGTCGGTGCCCACTTCCAGGCCTCCCACGCTGCCCCCCTCTCGGCCTGCCCAGCGTTCCCAGGCGCACTGGAAACAGTCAGGGCGGAGGCTCTTCGCACATTCCGGCCCCTGGGGACCCCTCGCTGGGCCTCGGGGCCGTGAGAACACGGCGCAGGATGACCAAACGATCCGGTCCCGGGGAATGGGTCGAGACTTCTGGGGACCGCGCGCGGAGAAAATCACGACGTCGGATCTCCGGGTCCCTCTCACCTCCCTCTCGGATCACGGCGGCCGTTGGGGACGATCCCGACAGCCCCGGACGCCTCTCGGCGAGGCGCAGCCGCTGGAGCACGTCCCGAAGCGGTGTGGTGACCACACGGCGTGGTGAATCAGCGGGGAGTCAAGGTCACCATCGGGGATCGACGCTCGATCCCTACACCTGCTGCTTCCCCCCACTCTGACTGCCAGGGCGGGCAGGGTGAACAGACATCTCGGCCTCCCAAGGCATGGATTTTCTCATCCACGCCCCAGCTCCGCCCCCTCGTGGACCTCTGGCTTGAGCAGGGGCATTTCCGATCGCCTACACCACGCGGCTTGGGGGCTCGGGTCGTTCTCCAGGGGCGTCTCGGGCGACCGGGGACTCCGAGGCCCTCAGACCGTGCGGTGACGGACCGATCAGCACCAGCACCAGCACCAGCACCAGCATTATCCCCATCACCATCACCGTCACCATCACCAGCACCACCACCATCATCAACAACAGCATCATCATCATCATCATCATCATCATCATCATCATCATCATCATCATCATCATCATCATCATCGTCATCATCATAATCAGCATCTTCACAATCATCATCATCATCGTCATCAACCTCATCATCATCATCATCATCATCATCATCATCATCATCATCATCATCATCATCATCATCATCATCATCATCATCATCATCATCATCATCATCATCATCATCATCATCATCATCATCATCATCATCATCATCAGCATCATCATCATCATCATCATCATCATCATCATCATCATCATCATCATCATCATCATCATCATCATCATCATCATCATCATCATCGAAGGCCGCCGCGAGCTCAGGCCTTCGGAGGCGCAGCGGACGCGCCCCCTCGAACCAAGGCGCCAGCAGAGAGAGAGAGAGAGAGAGAGCGATGGCATCTCCCCGCGAAGGGGCGCCATGGGGTCGACCGTGCTCCAGCGTGTGAGCGCGGGTGCGTGCCGCCAGTTGGGATGTCAGCTGCAGGACTCGCCGAACGTAGACAAGCTCCACTGGATGATGAGGCCGCTGCTCACGACTGCGCCCCGCTTGACAACAAACATCGGATGGAGTGGCGACGAGCCTACAGCATTCCAAGCTCACGAGCACGCTGGAGGCCATCTCCAACGGCACGACGATCTACAACGCGCTGAGGGCAATGCACGTGAAGCCAGACTCGCAGCTCAACTTACAACCCCGCCCCCCCGAACGCTGACTACCCACCTAACGTAGCCCAGACCTCGGTGACACCGAGCCAGGCCCGCGCGGAATGGGTGTGACACCTGCTTTCTGGCGACACGCTTGTCTCAGAATGATGTTCCGGCTTGTGCGTGCGCCGCATCTCGGATTGAAAGTGTTGCTTTCGCCTAGGCGCCAGCGACATCCTTCATTGAGCGTGTTGTTCTCGCCCGTGCGTGGGCCACATCTGCGATTGAACATGTTGTCGCCCACGCGCCGGCGACGTCCTTCATTGAACGTGCTGTTCATGGTCCGAGATATTGAACTGGATCCACAGGCTGCTGAAGGTTATCGTATTGCTGCAGTGGAACATTCTCAGCAGCATGGAGACCGGCTCGACGCCGAGACATCATCGCATCGTCGCCGCTCCCCAAGTCAGAACGCGCCAGCCCAGGAGACCCCAGGTCCCCTGGCCAGTAGTCTTGAGAGCCGTGGGCGTCCAGAGAGTGCTCCCCGCGGGAATCCTTCGAAGGATTTGGGAAATGAAGCCGAACTCGCGCCTGCCCGAGCGCACGCAAGTCACACCAGCACGAAGCCCCTCGCGATCATCGGCAGGAACCCCTTCACCCTCTACGGCTCACCCGGACGAGTCGACGACATGTTGGATGCTTTTGCGAAGCTCCAGGCGTTGCTAATGGTTCGGGCGAAACTACGACAGCGAGCCACAAATGTACGTCACCATGTCGACGATCGCGTACGACATCATTGGATTTACTTCGACTGGGGCATGGGCCAGTATGCAGTATTGCGCTGAGCAAACGGCACCTTCGACGGTAAAACATCGTTCGCAGTCTACATCCCAGCGCTGAGCTTCAAGGGCGAGGCGGCGTCGTGGAGGGGCACCTTGGTGCGGTGCGGATTTGTTCATCGTGGCCTATTTCCCTTCCACGGCCAACTCAAACAGCACTTGCACCCAGATGGCAGATGGTCTGTCGCAAATTTCTTCCATGGCTCATGCAAGTGCCAACGGGGGTATCCGACCGAGATATTTCCATTTTTTGACAGACATGAATCAAGTGCTCGGAAAGACGGGCAGCAGAAAGAACACCGACGAAACAATCGGCCCTTACCAGTCGAGTCCCGAGAGGCACTTTGGACAAACAACTCCTGCGAACCTCCTTTCGACACGGACTGAAAACACTCGGTAGATACCGTGGCGTCGGATATACCTACCATGGTCAAAAACAGAGTTGCTCCCGCATTGATTACCTCCTTCGCTGTTCTAATTTGCTGGAGGTTGTGGAGATTATCGGGCTTTTATGGGGAATGCATCGACGAGTTCGCGCGCTTGCACATGTCCCTGATCACGTACCTATGACCATGCACATACGAGTGCCCGCTTCAAAGCTGGACCCAATCTTATCTCCCAAACTATGGGGCTGGGGCGTGCTAGCGCACGGATTGCAGCAAGGCGCTCGTCGCGAAGCATTGACCACAGCGGTCGCCAAGGGCTTGGAAGGGCGGAGTGCGTCGAACGGCGCGCGTGGATCAGTTCCCTACCCGCCAGAGTGCCGTACTACGCTACGCCATACCTTCACGAAGAACGTGGCGGAATATTATACCACTCAGGAATCGAGGCCTGCGCCGTGAAATCAGGCACGCGTTGAACGTCTGGAGCCACTGCGAGAACGGGCCCGGCATCGACGCGAGGCACTGGAATTTGAGCAAAGAGCTTCCATTCACATCCAAAAGCAGCTCATAACACATCATCGTGAGATGGGCCGTGGGTGGAACATTAGCTTGGATCAAGACGTGCGCGAAGCGTGGGCTGCGCAAGATCTACCGTTAGCGTTGCGCTTAACATGCTTTCGCGCTGGTCGCCGCGCGGGCGCGCGACGGCGATCTCACCATGCGTTGCCTTCGACGCGGCCAAGTGGCGCAGGGTATTCCCCTGCGTCCAAGGCATTGGCAACGGAAGGTGGGCCACTTGCGATCGCGGCATATCCGCGCGTGCACATTGACGACCCCGCTGCCGCGCCCAGACTACTGATGCGAACGTATATGAGATTCCACCGGTAGGTGAATACACTGGCGCCTCCGCAATCGAGCAGCAGGAGGCCGCGCTCGAGGAACTGGAGCATTGTCAACGGCGGCTCTGGCGCGAGACTCTTCGCAGGTGCAATCCGCCATGGGCCTGGCCAGTCGAGACCGCGATCGCGCCGCTCAATCCCGCCAACTCGACGATGGTTGGCCCCGCGGGGGCAGGCGCTGGCAGCGCGGATCAAGCTTATCATCGCGCGGCTACTCTGGCTGCAACTGGTCGACCGCGCCGACCTCGCCGGCTGCGATGGGATCGGCGCGGTTGCTGCGAAATCGCCCGGGCCTTCGCGCAGCTTATCGTTCGAGCGCATCGGGCGCAAGAGCTGCCCGCTGAAGCCTGCGCCAGTTGCGCCGTTGCGATCGGCGAGACAGGCGGGTTCCCGACCGGGCGCCCGACGCATGACATTCAAACCTGCGTTCGGCTTGTGCGCTGCTTCGACCGTTTATGACGATTGCATCTGCGCGTCGTCTTGCTCAAGTGCGGCCGCGTATATGATCTTCTTCCATGGGCCCGCGGGGGCGCCCATGCGCGGCGGCGAGGGGCAGTGGCGGTGTTGGCCGAGCTCATCATCTGGAAGCTTCGAGCTCCAAGTTTTTCTTTTTGGCCAAATCCTACGATGCGCGCAATGCTTTCGCCGCTGGCGCGCGCGAGCGGCTCGCGGCAGCTCGCGCAGTGCGATGCGACGACGAGCGTTGCCGGCCGTTTCTCGCCCAGCATCGCGAGCGGGCCGCTGCGTGCCTCCAGGCTTCGGGCGCGAACCCCGCTCTTTGGCCGTAGACAGACTGGGGCGGGGGGGCGGGGGGGGGCGGGGGGCTCCGGCGAGCCAGAGTTGTTCATGTAGCCATTTCCCCCGCCGACGTTGCATGGGGAAGCGAAGATGGCCGAAGTTCCGGTTGGGCCGTTCGCTTTGTGCGCCCTTAGATTTCGAGGTCATCTAGGCGCCTTCATCGATGACTTATCATAGATTAGTCTGATCCCTGACGGGGCGGCACACCAAGCTGAGAGAGAGAGAGAGAGAGAGAGAGAGAGAGAGAGAGAGAGAGAGAGAGAGAGAGAGAGAGAGAGAGAGAGAGAGAGAGAGAAATAAAGAAGAGAGAGAAGAGAGAGAGAGAGAGAGAGAGAGAGAGAGAGAGAGAGAGAGAGAGAGAGATAACAATACAGAGAGAGAGAGAGAGAACAACAAACAAAGAGAGATACTATAGAGACAATAGAGAGAAAATAGAGAGAGAGGCGCAGAAAGAGCGAGAGAGAGAGGGAGAGAGAGAGAGAGATACATAGAGAAAGAGAGAGAGATATTATATCATTGTGACATGCATGAGGCCAGTCAGGGTGAGCATTTGATCTCAGCCCCCCCCGGCGAACCTCCTTATCGCCCGCAGGGCGGTCTTATAGGTGGCGCATGTCATGCCGCATTTCCAAATGCAGATCATACCGTGCGACATTCACGACGAACCTGGCAAGCAGGACGACGCGTGCGCGACTTCGCATCACGGCGCATGGGCGGCGCCATCTGCGGCGACGTGTCCTCTGCGAGACAGCGATTTAGATCCTGCGTGTCATCGCGATAATGGGCCGCGACAAGCTACGAAAGCATGCGCATATGCCCCCCCCTCTGTCGACGTGGCGATTCGCTGCTCAAGCGCGCGCGCGGGCGCGCGCTCCGCGCGCGCTTGGCGCCCTTGAGCGGCAGAGCGCAGCCGCCGCCGTCGGCCCGCGCCGCGCCGGGGCGACCTCGACCAGTCTGGGGCACATTTGCTGCGCGACGGCAGGTGCGACGAGGCATTGACCGAATGCTTCGACGCTGGGCTGGGCCAGCCGGTGCATCGACGCCGGCATCGGGTGCCCGCGTCTTCTCGGCCGCCCGGGGTGCCGGGCGCGTCGTCGGCAGCGCCGCGGGTGGCGCGGAGATCGCATTCTACATCGGCAGCGTCGCGTCCGAGGAGAAGGCGGCCCTCCCCGAGAAGGCGCCGCCGCCCGCAATGTCGAACTGGCGCGTCGCGCTGGACTCCTCGACGACCTCGGCGGCATCTGGCGAAGGGCCCAAGAGCGGGCAGCCGCCGGCGCGCAAGCCGCGCGCCTCCGCCAAGGGCGGCAGCCGCAAAGGACACGGGCGCAGGCGAGCCGGACGAGGAGGCCGAGGCAGCGCGGCCGCAGAGACGCAAGAGACGCGGCGGGGGCGGGGGGGGGGGCGAGGCGCGGCGGCCATTCGGAGAAGCAGTGGACGAGCAAGGACAAGCAATTACTGTCGCTCTTGAAATGGACGCTGAAGCTGGCGCCCCAGACCGCGCGCCGCGAGAGGCTCAACATCTCGCTGGCCGCGGGCGCCCGCGCGCGCCCAGAGACTCGCGTAGCGATCGGCAAGGTTCAGGAGGGAAAAAAACACGCACAGACACAATTCATCGTCGATTCCCCAGAAAATATGGGAAAATATGGGAAGTGTGGGGGGAGACAGAAACCCAGAACATACTGGAAAATATGGGGGGTCCTTTTATTTGAGTGTGCTTATTTGTGTGTCCTAGGGGCCCTTCGAATGTGAGCAACGAGCTGGATGGCCACGAGAACACCTAGGACAGGCTCCGCCATGGCACAGCACCGGACAGGCAGAGGAGAAAGGAGATCGGCTGCCCAGCGCCCTGCATGGGCCTCGCGGCGTTGGGGGGGCCTCCTGCGCGACATCGGAGGGGCCTTGCGCGCGGAGATCGGGGGGCGCCTGAAGAAGGCCAGCCCCCCGACGAGAACATGGAGCGCGAAATCGCCGAGCAGATCCGAGATATGGGAGCAAAGAGGACCTCGCCGAGCAGATCCGCTTCATTGGGCGCGAGAACTGTCTCGACACGGAGAAAATGAAACTCATCATTGGAGCGCCAGAATTGGGGGGGGGGCAGGAAGATCATCATGAAATCATTCCGCTCCGAAGGAGCGGTCGCGCGCCATCTCGGGGCAGCGCCGGCGGACTGTCTCGCGGACGAGGTGGGGCACTTGTTGGATACGCTGGACGTATCATGATATTCGTGCGCGGAGATGCGCTTCCTGGAACTTCGGCGGCGCCGCGGACATCCCGCCCCACGTCCTGTTCGTCGCCCGTGCGACATGTGAGGCCCACGCCTGCCACTCCGCCCGCCTCGGAGCCTGTTGCTAGACTTTACCAGCGACGCAGTTTTTTCTCTTCGCAGCCCCATCGGTGAGGCTGTTTTTGCCGCAGACAAAGAGACAGTATAGTCTCTGCATCTATAGGTCCACCGCTCGCTGGCGTGCCCGCTCCCTTGTACAGCGCCCAGCGAGTTTCGCCCCGAACGGAGTCTGATTAGAATCAGATCCCTGCGACGGGCCAACATTTTGTTATTCCAGACGATATACCATATCATGTTCTTTTAGCCCTGGCGCCGAAGAGCAACACTACAAATCACCATCACCACCATCAGCATCATCACCATCATCTTCACCATCATCACCATCACCACGACGTCCATCACCATCACAACCACCACCATCATCACCACCAGCATCATCACCATCATCCTTATCCTCGTCACCACCACCGTCATCATCACCATTATTTTCACCAACGATATTACAAGTCTTTGGTCTTTACCCTTCATCGTCTTCATCAACATCCTCACCACCATCACCATCATCATCACAACCAACACCAGTATACTCATCACCACCACAACCGTCATGTTTACCACCATTCGTGTTAGCATAATAATCATCATCATCATCATCATCATCATCATCATCATTATCATCATCATCATCATCAGCATCCTCGTCATCATCATCATCATCATCATCATCAGCATCGTCATCATCATCATCATCATCATCATCATCATCACCTCCCTCTGGCTTCGGATCCTCTCCATTCTGGGGGAAGCGCGAGCGGCAGAAACACCCACCGTTCGGAGCTCCGCGCGGATGTTTCGGGTTGGCGCCGGACGCCTGGGGAGGGGAAGGGGGAGCCAACGCCGATCCGAAAGGACCACGCGGACCCCCCCACAGGCTTTCGTTTCTGCAGCCTTCCTCTGCTTTCTTCTCTTCCCCGTCGGATGCCCGTGCGCAGGGGCCCCGCCCCGAGGGCACCTGCGCACCGCCACCCGTGCCTGGCCAGGGCCACGCTGGACCCTGGGATGGCGCATCGGTTCCGATGGCCCTCGGGCCGCGTGTTCTCCAAAAGCCGTAAGGAAAACCAAATGAGCGACTCAAAAATCCCAGGAAGCCAACAAAGCCTGGGACGCCCAAAAACGGTGCGCGCCATTCTGGGGCCCAGGGTGCCCTGGCCAGGCACGGCGGGGCACGTCCCCCCCGACTCAAAAGCTTTAAGAAAACCAAAAAGGGCCCCAACAAATACCAAAATGGGGCCGTCTGCGCCGAATTTGGCGCGCAAGCTGCCCGCGTAAAGTCGCGCGTAAGCGCCCTCGCTTCTGATGCAGCGTGCCGCGCCAGCGGCGCGCGTGAGCCACTGCGTCAGGTCGCCACGCCATCTCGCGCAAGACCAGTTTATGTTCGTCGCCCAAATTATGTCGGACTTGTGGGGCGCAGGTTTTCCGGACCCTTCTTCTGGGGACGGGTCTGGTTGCTTGGGGACCTGCTAGGTTTCTTGTAAAGCCTCGTGTTTTTCCCAGTGTGTCATCACTCGGAGAAAACATATCGGTTGGATTGGTGTTGGTCCCCCTGTGGCGGCACCTCTGGCGCCGCCCCTGGCACATTCCGCGTGCCAGAGAAGGGGCCCAAGCATACATCCAGGAAGTGCGTGCGGATCTTCTACCGTCAATGCATCTGTTTTCTTGTTCTTTTGATCGTCGTCAGAATTGCCCCCACCTCTGCCAGGACAGGGGAAGCTAGCTCTCCCTCAGTGCCCCCTCCAGATGGAGGTGGGTAGGGGACCGATCCCCGCCCGGGCGGGGTAGGTTGGGCGGAGGGGCCGAGGCTTCCCCGCAGGGGGATGGGATGGCTTGACTTCTCCAGACTCTGTGCCGACCCCGCGTCAGCTCCAGCGGCAGCACGCAGGTCCGCGCCGACCCTCACCGCGCCGCCTGCGCCGCAGTGACGGACCTCGGTGCACGATGGCGCCGATCATCGCCCCGACCCTCACCGCCGCCGTAGTTGCCGTCGCAACGCAGCGCAAAGCAGCGCAACAGAGGGTCAAGTCGAGCAGCAGTGGCGAAGTTAAGGTACAGCTCAAATCGACCTGATATATATATATATATATATATATATATATATACAAACATGTATATATATATATATAATATATATATATGTATATATATATACATATATAAAAGTAAAAGGGAGAAGTATGTATATATTGTGGAGGAGAGAGAGAGAGGGATAGAGAGACAGGCAGAGAGAGAGAGAGAACAAGAAAGATAACGAGAGAAATAAATATAACATAATAATCAATAACATACAGGGAGAGAGAGAGAGAGAGAGAGAGAGAGAAACAAACATAACACACCAAAACACGAAGGGGCACGGGCAAGGGCGGGCAGAGCAAGTCCCCCTTCCGTGTTCATCCCAGCCCCCCTCCCTGCGCTCTGGGCGCTCCCCTCTCCCCCACCCTCCTCGCAGGGGCCCCCGTGCCCTCAGCCGCGCGGCTCCCCCCCGCAGCTGCGGGGGTGCTCCCCGCGGCGCACGGCGCGGCCTAGGAATGCTAATGCCGCGGGCAGGCCCCGCACCGCACGGAGGCGCGCGAGCGCGCGCGAGCGCGCGCGCGCAAAAAGGCCGCGAGAGGGGCCCGCCGAGAGGCCGCGACGGGCCCGCTGGCCGCGGCTCCTGCGCCCGACCCACGGCCCTCGGGCTCCTGCCCTCCTCCCTGCCTCCCTGGCACGTGCGCCCCGTGCTCCTCGTGCTCCCTCCTCCTCCTCCCTCCTCTTCCTTCTCCTCCT